GGAGTTGCCATGAAAAAGTCGTGCGGCGGATAAGAGTCCAACAAGACGGTTGCCGTTCTCATTCCGGAGTGCTGTTCCAAATTTCCCGATTCTATGCTCCCCTTCTTCCATCCCGATTTTCGCGTTGAAGTCACCCACGACGAATTTGTAGAAGGACTTCTCTTTGCGGATAACTTCCTCCAAATCCTCATAAAAAGCATCAAGCTCCGAATCAGCTGCTGATATTGGAGAATAACAGTTGAAGATAGTGATGGTTTTCTGATGCAGATGACGGAGTCGAAGGAAAGCCAGGCAGGGTGATAGGATCTTACGCAAATCGACAAGATGGACAACAGATGAGTGCAGGACAATGCCTTCAACATTCTGTGATGGAATCTTTTCACAACGAATGATGAGTATGCCATCACCTAGCTGCCTCACATCCGTCTTCCTAGACTTTCTTTCCTGCAAGGCTATTACGTAGTATTTGATGCGCCCTGCAACTTCGAGAAGGGCGCGAAGATCGGCATTGGTGAGGACTGTCTTGGCGTTGTAAGTGCAGAGATGAGACAATCTCCATGGCGAGCCACTGACGTGCCTTTTGGACCGAAATCCATGGCGTCCTGTGCAACTTGGCACTAGTCTTGATGACATCCGACGCCGTAGATGTGATCCAGTGCATAGGGCTTCTTTTTTTCTTACATGCTGTACAGGCAGAGTAAAAGGCATCTCCCCAAACATTAGCAGTGCCTTGCCAGGGCCCTGCCAAGCTTAAACCACGGGCAATGTTGACCTTATGGATCAGGAGGCCACCTAGCAACTAACTCAGCCAGACGGTGGTGCTTTTGGCATGGCTTCCCCTTAGCTGGGCTTCCGGGAAACCGGATCGAGCTCCTTCTCAGCTTGGGAGGAGGATAAACCTCCGCTGTACTTCGCAGTTCGACACCCAGAGTCAACCCCGCGCCACGTTGAGGCGGTAGACCATGATGGGGGTGGAATTTGAACTTGAAATCCGATATTTCATCCATATCTGAGTTTCCTCGGAATAGGACTCAAAAGTTGTAAGTTTTCTCATTTTTTCTTCCAAATGATATCCTATGATGAAATCGTGCAGCGAAAGGTACAGTGGGAATTCTGCCATTGATCAGCCGTTTTGATGCAATTTTAAGT